ACCTAATCTTAGCTTAGTCCAAATAATTTTTTATGACTCGTGATTTTGTGTCGGTCATTTATTTTCGACCTTGACTCGGTTCTGGTCACCTCATTTTTTACTCAAGGATTTCGTCTCGATCACCTGATCTTGGCTCAGTCCAGATCATTTTTTATGATTTATGGTTCTGTCATGGTTATTTATTTTCGACCTCGACTCGATCCTGATCGTCTCATTTGACTCATGGTTTCATCCCTGTCACATGATCTTGGCTCAGTCCAAATCATTTCTTATGACTCGCGGTTTGTTCCAGTCATTTATTTTCAACCTTGACTCAATCTTGATGGCCTTATTTTTAACTCGCGATTTCATCTCGATTGTTTTTACTTGTTGATTTAACTCAAACAAAATTGGTGTCTAGGTCTTTGCATCATTTCTGTTTGACAAAAACATACAAATAGGGGCAGTTGTAGACACTCTTATGTGTCCGGGGTCAATAGGATTATTCTTAGGGTTATTTTTATAATATTATTATAGTATACTAACATAGTATATTATATGGCAATATACTATAGTATTATTGTTATATTATATATTATTATTACTACTATTATTATGATATTGTATATAGTTATTATTATTATTATTATTATTATTATTATTATTCTTTCAATTCTTCCTAACTGCTGATTGAATAACTGAAATTAAGAATTGAATCTAGTCAAAAGGTCAATCAAAGCTTAAATCAAGGAATTTTTCAATCAACAATGAACCTAGACATATTTTGAGGTTCAAACAAAATCAAATCCTAGGATTCAAGCTTGGATTGATTCTGTTCATTTCCTAAAATCTATCCTAAAAGGATCTATAAATTGGACGGATCATTACAAAGTGGGAAAATGGTAGATTTTAAAAAGAAATGTTATTTTTTGGAAAATGGGTGTTCTGAAAATTTTTAGGGCAGAGTAGGAGTGTTTGGGATTTGGATTTCTGATTTTGGTTTCGTGTTAAAGATTTTGGGTTAAATTTAGGTTTCTAGGGTTTAGATTTGGATTCTAGAGGGTTTTTGAAGGAATCTGGCCAAATCTGCAAAAATTTAAGATTTTTCTAGAAAAATCTAGATTTTTGGGAAAAACATGAAGTTTTTGATGAATTTTTCAATGATCGGTTGAATTTTTAGACCAATTTTCGATCAAATTTCTAAAAATCGATGGATTTTCTAGTTTTCGAATGAATTTTCTCGTGACCTCCCTAGCAACCGATAAATTTTCAGTTTTCAGTTGAATTTTTGATAGAGTTTCTTAAAAAGAAATCATAGCTTCTCTATCTACAGAGATAAAAGGGCTAGCTTTCTGAGGAGAAAGGCTAGGAATTGCCTTTTATACGTAGTCAAAATGACAGTGTTTTAGTGATCCATGATCATACTAAGAATGTTGACCCGTACGTTAACCCGCGCTTTAACCCAACCTGATCGCAAGGTTTCATTTTTCCATTTTATTTTTATGTTTTGATTTTATTTATTTTATATTTTTTAACTTATTTTATTTTTAATTTTTAATTTTTTGGTTTTATTTTTGAGAAATTTCAAAAAAATTGTTTCTATTTAAAATATATATTTTCAATGAATTAAAAAAAAACCAAACCAAAAATAAAACCAAAAACAAAACAAAAATCTTTTTCAAGTAAATTTTCAAAAAAAAAAAATCTTTTTAAGCTTTTTTAGAAAAAAATCCTTTTAATAAATAACAAAAAAAAATCCTTTTTCAATCCTTACAAAATAAATTTATGAAATTCTACCAAATTATTGGAGAATTTTTATGGAATCCACCAAACTATTGAAAATTTTCATGAATCATTTAAAAAATAAAAAGTATAAAAAATTTTTAAAAATAAAAAAATAATTTTTATCCTCTAAACTATTGAAAAATTGCTTCAAAGTAAGTCCTATCAAACTATTGGGAGATTTACTAACTTTTTTGGAATAAGATAAATCAATAAATTCAATGATGGAGCCTCTTCAGAATGGGATACTAGTCTCTATGAATACTACTGAGGTGAGAAAATTATCTTAAATTGCTATCAAATTATTGGGATAATTTCAAGATTAATTTTTAATATTAAATTATTTGATAAATCATAAAAATGATTAAGGTTTGGATAATTTGAAATCAAACTAGTATCATCTTTGGATGGACATTATGGAGTGTTACAACCTTTCCCATACGTAATTGATTCCCGAACCTAATATCTGTTTTCGTAGATTAGAATATGTTTTAGGTGGCCAATCACACATAACCAAAAAAGATTGGTGGCGACTCCTCTAATCCATGTCCAGTGATAGGTTAACAGATCTATACGTTATGACAAGCATGATTTTAGGCTAGATCCTTGCTAATTTGTTTGAAAAGATCCCTGAATTGAATTCTGATTAATTATACGAATTGGGTTTTTTGACATAATCGATTTAGGATTTCAGTTTCCGTGATTATTATCATCAAATGAAAATGGAAAGGAAAATAAAATAATAATAATAATAATAATATGATAATAATAATAATAATAATAACAATATAATAATAATACTATACTATATACTATACTTTAACATATCTAATAATATAATAATATACTTATAAAATAATACTAATAAAAATGGCCCTATTAATCCCCAATACAGATGGGTATCTACAGTTTAAGATTGATTAGATATTACTAGATGGATAAAAAAACTTGTAGAAAAAAATTTAAAAAAAAAAAAGATTCTTAATAGGTAAGTTTGTATGCTTATAAACAAGTGGGTTCTTTATAAAATTAGATTTGAGAAAAAGATATATGAGAGTTGTAAAATTTTATGGGATAAACACCTTATAATACTATTAGAGATTAACATCTTTATGGTATGTATATTTGAATATTTATTAGTGGACTAGGGGAGACTAAAATGGTATAGAGATATGGTGTATGGGTGTATATTGGTATATTTTTATTTGAGAATACTTTATAGAAATAAAAAAGATTAAGAAGGTCTATAAATATTAATTGTTGAGTGTTTGTATCTTTATAATTCTCTACAATTAGTGGATCTTTTCTTTCATTTACATTAAATTGTTGTCTCTTATGTGATTGTTTGATTATTTGACTTTACTTCTACCAACATGGATGTTTAATTGAATCAAGGCTTTTTAGCCTAATAAATAGTATCAAAGCTATCATAGTCCTAACAAGTGATATCAGGACTGAAGGTTCGAGACATGAGAAAATGTAAGCCCAAAGAAACTCGATTCAGTGGAAGAGTTCAAGTTCATATTTTGAAAATTAATTTGCGTGAAGTGTGAAGAAATGCAAAGAAGATTGTTATGAGATTTTCATTATAGGTGAAGCCAAGTATGTCTCATATGAAAACTAATAATTTGATGGAATTTGAGTTAAGATAGAGATTATTAGGAATAATGACTCAAATCTCATAAAAGATTTTTTGAGATCAACTAGATATTACTTGATGGATAACAAGACTTGTAAAAAAAGAATTCTAAGAGAAAAAATTTTTTTAACAAGTAGATTATATGCTTATAAATAGGTGGAGGTGGAGTCTTTATAGAGTTAGGTATGCGAAAAATATGTAAGAAAGTTTTATGATTTTATGGTTTTATGGGATAGACACCCCATAAGACTACTAAAAATCAATGTCTTATGAGTTTGTATGTTTGAATATTTATGAGTGGATTAGAAAAGACTAAAAAGATCCATATAGATATGATGTATGAGTGCACGTAAGTATGTATTTGTTTGGGTTGAGAATATTTTATAGAATTAAAAGAAATTGAAAAGGCTTATAGGTATTAATTGTTAAGTGTTTAATTATATATTTGTAATTTTTTATAACTAGTGATTTTTTCTCTTATCTGTGAATATAAGTTGATTGAGTCAAATCATATTAAATTGTTGTCTCTTATATGATTATTTGATTATTTTATTTTACTTCTATTGAGGTGAATGTTTAATTGAATTTGAGTTTTTTTACTTAAAAAGTGGTATCAAAGTTGTGTTAAGATTGAGATTTTGAAATTAAATCTAAGTTTTTTTATTTTTTTTAAATAACTTAATGAGTTTTTTTTTTTTAAATTAACATAGAAAATGGTAGAAGATTGAAAAGAGCAAAAATTTTAATATTTGAATGAAATGGACACTATAAAAGATAATTCTACTTTCATTATAAAAAAAAAGGACAGTTTCTTTTTATATTATATAATCGATACTTGATTGATTGGTTTGAGTTTCTTATACAAATTAAAACCACACCAAACCGATCACATCAAATTCATCCTTTAACTTTTAGTTTTTTTTTTTTTAAATTAATTACCTCATTGTTTGAATCTTTAAAAGTCCGACTAAGCATAGTAGAAAGGCTAATGGGAAGTTTTGTTCAGCATCCTTCTTTCTTCCAAGGCACAAAAAAGGAAAGGTAAAACGAAAAAAAAAATTCTATACGTCCGCAAGGTTTGACCAACTGTTTTTCCCTTGTGGGAACATATATGCTCTTGTTCCCTCGTAAAAAAAAAAAAAAGAGTTCATGGACCCCTGTTTAGAGAATACCTTTGGTTGCATTGCGTTTTAATCACTCCTATAATTTATTACCCATTAAAGCGAGTTTATCACATATGAGTTGTTCTTAATTGAACCTTTATTCCTCTTTACACTTGTAATTAATATATCAACTCAGCTCCATGTATTGATAGCTTTCTTAATCCAATCTGCAAAATTAGTTTATAAACCCTTCAAATAATCTTGGACACAAAAAAAAAAAAAAAAAACCCTTCAAATAATGGAAAGTGTGGACTTTTAACGTTACGTGTTGTATTTTAAATTGAAACGTGTCAGCGTGATTGGTTGGCAAAATATTAAAATTTTAATTTTAATAATCAAACGTCGATATCCAATACATCAAGAAAAAACTCATGGAATCCTGTCTTGAAAAAATTCGTGGAACATCCCATCAATATATAGCAAGCTATAGCTCCTCTTGTCAAAGGGAACAAGCCGTTAATTAAGGATTACAAATGAAATTGAAACATGACAAAAGGGAAAAAAAAAAGAAAAAAGAGAAAACAAGTTGTATTGAGAGGGAAATGTTTATTTCTTATTAAGAAATTGTAACATCTATGAGGCTGCGCTAACTTATTCAGCCATTATTGTTTTTATGAGTCAATGCTAATCAAAACTCATCTAGCTAATCATCATAGGCTTAGTACTACAAGACCTTTTCTAAAATCTTATGCTTTTATTTCATACTAATTTTCTTTCTTTCCCACAACCGAAGTGGGGTCAAATATGAGGCTAAATGCTATTCTGATATACTATTACATCATTTGAGTGGTACCATGTGCTACCTTTTTATTCTTTGCTCTGCATGTGTAACCGGCCTTTTGGTACTTCTATTCTTTTGACAATTAAGCTCTCAAATCTTTATAGATAAACCCTAATTTAAATAAAGCAAAAGCAAAAGCAAACTAATAAAGCTACCATTGCAGTATCTATCTTCATGTTCCTTGCTTTGTGTCTGGTCTTTCACTTTCACAGTTACGAAAAAATCCCTTAGCCTACCTTGCTTTTCTCTTCCTTTCATTTCATGGATCTCCCATATCTCCAAATTCCATGTCACCCCCACATGTAGTTTTGAGTTGTAGGACCCTCCCTCCTCCATCTATATATATATATATATATATATATTTTTTTTTTTTCTTTTTTAACAGTATTTACAAAAGCTTGCCTAGGATATTCATGGTAGTGGGTCAATGTGCTGGGAAAAAAATTGGTGAGGAATCTCTTTGGAGTTCTCCTTCCAAGATCCTCACTTTGCTCATCTTCTCTTCACACCAATGCAATTGTTCTTCACTTAGATCACTCATTCTCAACACCCTTGACACCACTTTTAGGTCAATTAGGCCCATCAATATGTCCACCTCTTTCTCCACCTTCAATTTTCTTTTCCTTAGGCATTTGTGAGCCCGGCGAAGTTCTTTAAGCTTCATCTTTTTCTGCAATTAAAGCCAAAAAAAAAAAGGGCAAAATCTGATTACTACTCATCATTGGGATATATACATATAAAGCCAATTGTATCATATATTGGGAATTTAATTTGAACTTACTTTAGCATTAACTTTTTTCATGAGTTGGAGAAGTGTTGGGTCAACTGAACCTCTTCTCTTCCTCCCAAAAAATGCTTTGATGATTTGGCATGGTTTCTCCTTGTCGGCCTTGAGAAAATTCATGAAGGTTTGGATTCCATCTTCCATTATCACCAGAAATGAATCTGCTGAAATTCTTGAGCCAAAACCTTCATCCCTTTGATCGTCCTCATAATCTTAATTAAAATCAATACATGGATGGAATAAAGGAATGTTAAAGGTATTATAAATGTAGATACATCAAAAATCAATTTACGATATTCAGGATAGGAAATAGAGGGTTAGCATATTACCTCGATATTCAGGAACCAGAAGCAACTTTGGTGCCAAAAGCCTCACCCTGGCGTAGACTTCTGGTCTCCGGCCTTGCTCATAAGGCTCATTTTCTATGTATCTTTGTAAAAGAACTTGGAATTGCTGAAACTGCTGAGCAATAATGGCAGGACAGTCGAAATCTTTGCGTGCTGCTCTTTTACGTTCAAAGTTCTTGTAATTCCAATTAAGAGCTTCCCAAGTTAAGCAAATTTGAGCTACATATGCAGCTTCCAGTTCATGATATGGATTGTGTCTGATATCTGATGGCTTCTTGTTCATTGTGGCAAACTTGCGGACTATTCTCTCTGATATTGACCTTGGGCAAGCTTGGATGGACCTCAGGGACTCTAGAACAATTTCAAACCAATCAAGCAAATGTACATTGTACTACATCAAATGACTAAACGTTTGCTGGATTAAATTATATGTTACCAGTTTCCTGGAGCTTTTGTGCACTAATTCTGTCTAGGAACATCATCTCTTCATCATATTTTTGAAACACTGTGTAGGACTCCCACTTAGGACAACTTCTTCTTGAGGAAGAAGAAAATGGATCATCAGTCCCTGAATCTCTACAATTTATTGAGCTTCTCCACTCGGAGGAGCTCTTAGAAGTAGAGCCAATTGTGCAAGAGTCTCCGTAGATTTCTTCATCATCCTTTTCCTGAACTAATAACTTCCTAGACTCCAATTTTGTTGGTCCTACAACAAAAAACTTCTGATCACTTCTTGAAAAATCTGTTTCCACCCTTTGTTTGATTTCTTGATTACTGCAAATTTCTGCATAGGCAGTAACAGGTCGAGTTGAAAACATGAAAACAAAAAGTACAATAACTGTAATGATCAGCAGAAACAAATGAAGTACAGCATGTGATCCTAATCAAGCATAAATGCACATACCATCACCATATTCATCATTGTCCACCTGATCACTTTTGTCTAGTTCTGTGAGTATTGGCGAGACGATAGGAGTGGGACCGTCTTGATTTGCATCAAAATTCTGAAGTGAATCAGCATTATTTTTTGGGTTCTCTTCATCCAGCAAATCTGTATCATCATCATGATCATGATGTTCAGAATCTGAACAAGGTGACGAGTCAAGAGCAGAAAACTGTTCAGTCGAATAACTTGCATATTCTTGATCTTCACTTGTGATCAGCTGATCATCATGGGGGTTCAAGGATTCCTCAAAATCATTTTGAGTCATGTGAAAGCTGTTGTCTGGCAGGAATACAAGTGATTCACCACCATGAATTATGTCAGCCACCAGGTGATCTTTTTCCATGCAGTTCACCCTATAATTATACCTGTCAGCAGCATATTCTTCTTCCTCTTCCTCCTCTTCATCAGAAAACATACTGTAGTCATATCCATTTTGATTCCTGCAAAGAAGAAAGCGCACAGCACAAAATTCTTCATCAACAATGTAAATTAGAAAAGAAAGAATTTTAGTAAGCTAAGAAAAAGAGGAAGAGATTTGCTGATACTAGACCTTTGGATAAGTTGATAACTTCCAACGAAGTAAAAGAACTTGGCAAGCAAAATGGACGAGGAGTATAGGAATACAAGGAAGAGCAGAGAGGAGCTTGAGAGGTTGTAAAACAATCTAACTAGAACTTCCTTTGAAAATGGCATATTTTCTCGTTGTTGGTGCTGCAAAATGAGCTGCCAACAAATAATCCTACTCAAAAGCAAAGTGAAGTCTTGGTTAAAAAGAAGATGTCTTCTTTTTTTTTTTTTAATGGGTCTCCCATTCCTGCATCCTTAAAATATCTAATCTGTCCTAAAATGTCAAAATTACCTCAATCATTTCCAAACATCAATTGAAATTGGGAGGGCAAATCTGTCAGCAAATTTGGTGGTCTTTCACGTACAAAAATAGAAAAAAAAAAAAAAAAAAGAAAAAAACAAAAAGAAGAAGAAGAAGCCGGCTTTTATAGGAGTTCTCATTTTCTTAATTACGACATGTTTTACTGATTTGGTCATCATAGAGTTATTAGATTACAAATTCCCACATCTTTCATTATCCCTGCTTGTCTAAGCTACCGATATTCTTGGCAAGGAGAAACTGAATTTTTATTTGAACAACTTGGTTGATCATCTGATGGGATGAATTGACATATTAATTAAAGATCTTGCAAATATAAAAATAAATATACTCAAAAACTTTTTGGAAGGATTAATTAGTTTTGCAATACTCAAAAGCTATATATGATGAGAAATTAGAATTTAGTTTAGTTAATTAGTATAATTACTTTTAAAATATGATAAATTTAAAATTTAAATTTCAAAACGTGTAATTTCATTTTAATATTTTCAAACTACGATTTTTTTGTGTATATGAAAAAATTTATAAATGAGGAAGACATAGTGAATTAATCTTGTATTTAGATTAATACAAGATTTCAAAAATTTATATGAGTATGATGTTGTTGATTTGCATGTAATGTGCTGCATAATATAGACACACAAACTCATAGAAATCCTCTCTTCATTAAAAGCATAAAAAGAAATCTTGTATTAATCTAAATATACCATACCAATATTCAAATGAGAGAAAATAAAAAATCGTATCTTCTTTGAAAATCCTCAGTAGCAACAAAATGAAAAAAAGAGATCCAAAGACCAAAACTTGGCTACAAGCATCCGTAAACAAGTATGGCTTTTATGCTTTATAAAAGAATTAATAATATATTATAACTTTTAAAAAATAATATAAGAAAATAGAACCGTGTAACATAATTTAATTTAATATAAGTAATTTGGGGTGGCGTGGAGAGATTTTATTGTTTGAGATATTCTTTGCCTCTTAATTATGGAAAGCCTTAAAAGGGGTGGGAATGTCTTTTGGGGCTTCTTAGGCAAATTTCTCATTTGCTCCATTTATGTCCTTAGCTTGGCTCCTAAGGCTTTCGCAGAAAATGCTGTCTCCCTATGATTTTTTTGTTTTACACATTTTGAGTTATTTATTATTTTTCAAAATAAAAAGTAGAATTAGCATATAACATGTAGAATTGGTAAGAGAAGTTAAACGAAGATGAAATCCACAATCAAAAGTCTCCAAAAACAAGGTAAGTCTTACATCATTATCACCAAAATAAAATAAAGATAAAATAATTTAATTTACTAATAAAGGATTAATTCAATTAGCAAGGCTCTAAAATTCAGTCGTAATCTAATACTATAAAAAGCCTTTAAAAAAGCTCTTAGGTGGAACTTTAAGTTATCCGTCTAACTTCTTTTGAACTCATGTTAACGCTCTTTTATTATCATTCTTCTTGAATGAACATGGAGTAAAATATATTACCCAAACTTGTCGAATTGAACATTTTATTTAGGTAAAAATTCTCCAGCCCCTCAAATGAAGGCGAATCACCCAGTTTACAAGTTTTCTTAGCTTTTGATAACATGCTTCTCGTCAACTCTTAAATTTGATTATTAAGAATAATGGTATCCACAACATCAAACCTCCTCCCACTCCAGATTCATTAAAAGCTTAAACGAGGTACCAATTGTCATGGGCCCCAACACATAAAAGCCGCGTTGTGCCTAAGATCTGGGCCATAGTTATCTAAGAGATTCCTTCCAGACTTCCGGTTGGACTCTGCACTTTCTTCCCCATCTTATCAGGAAAAGAAATAGGGTAACGTACTGAGCTCTTAAATTTGATTATTGAGAATAATGGTATCCACAACATCAAACCCCAGATTCATTAAAAGCTTAAACGAGGTACAAATTGTCATGGGTCCCAACACATAAAAGCGGGGTTGTGCCTAAGATCTGGGCCATAGTTAACTAAGAGATTACTTCCAGACTTCCAGTTGGACTCTGCACTTTCTTCCCCATTTTATCAGGAAAAGAAATAGGGTAACGTACTGAGCTCTCTATAAATACTGCCCTTTTCTTTTCTCTCGTGGAATATTTGTCTAACTACACTCCTTAATTAGTAGTGTAATTAATAAGGTGTTCTTATTACTCATAATTTGAAATTACTTTATTTGATTAACAGTCATTAATATTTAGTAAGCTCATAACATTGTGTTTGGTAGTATTAAAAATAAAACACTATTTTGTTTAAAAATACGAAAATAATCATGCATATTATAATAGTTACAATTGTTAATGATTTTAATGTTATTTAAAGATAATAATTTGTAAAATGTTAGTAGTATTTTATTTATTTTATAATAAAATTATTAAATTAATAAATACATTTATTGATAAATAAATTAATTTTTATAATATAATTTACATAAAAAATATTTGAATTAGAAAATAAAATTAATCTATTAAATTCATAATAAAAGAAATATTATATTATATTATATAAAAATATTTATAAAAATCAATAATTATTTTTGAATCTATTACCATGAATACTAGTTTTATAATATAAAATTTTATAATATATAATAATTACAATTTTAAAAGAAAAAATTTTTAATTCATATATTAAATGAGTAATATTAACTGTTATTAATTTTATTTCTTATTTTAGTTAGGTGATAAAAAATTTTACCCTTTTGAATGGGAATTAAATCATCTTTTAATACAGTAATTTGATCTTTTTTTATTCAAGATCATCATCACATAAGATTATTTAGTACTTATCAAACACAATAATCTAATCACTATTTATAAATCACTGTGATTTTAAGTGATCATCTTTTATCAAAATTATTTTAATGATTCTGTATATTTTACATGTTTGAATTTTGTTACACGATTTCATATTTGATTTTTGAAATATGCAATGAAATGTAATTCTTGTCCATTTTTACTCCTGCTAATTTCGAGATTTGAATTCTTAACATGAAATCTCAAGTTTTAATCTTTAGTTATACCATCGGATATAATATTTCATATTTAATGTTTCATGCTTCTATTAATTTTCAGAGTTCTACCAGAAAGATATAGGCCAGATTTAGTGTGATCCATGACTCCTTGGTTTGCCCGGTTTTGGATTGTGAGTCATTACATGGCCTATCGATAAAGCAGTCAGGCCCTTAGACTTGATTTAAAGTAATATCGTTTAGATTAGATCAGATTTAATTTGATATTTTAGATAACGGATAATATTATATTTTTAAAAATTGATTTGAATTGATTTTTCTTAAAATAATCTTATTCAAATTAAATTTTATTAATTTGATTAATTGCTTTTTTAAATTTAAAATTGTTTATTTTATATATTATTTTAATATATTTAAATAGATTTTGATATAAAATAATTATTTTTTTATAAAAATTTAAAAAATATATAAAAGTTAATAAAATTAGATAATTCGATTCAATTTTTTTATTATTTACTTTTTTATTCAAAATTCGATACAAATTTAATATATGTATAATTTTTGAACTTAATCTACATCGAATAAAAAAATCAATCCAAAACCAAATCAAATATTATTATTTCAAATCGATTTTGAGTTTTATTAATTTTTTTTTCTCATTCCTAAGTTTGACAATGGAGCTCAGTTTCAGCTTTTGTCGAATAGGAAATGACACGGACTTACTATTATTTTTTATAAAAAAAAAAAAAAAAAGATTAATTCGTAGGAAAAAAAAAGAAAAAAAATTCGTTTGTTATGAAAGAAGGCTTTCTAGGTAGAGCACAAATAGAATTAAGCATGTCTTGCTAATTCTATACATAGATATACCAACCAATCCTCAATGAGCAAGGCCTAGTCAAATAAATACTTAATTAATTCTTAATTTTCATGCCGAATTAAAGTAGTTAGGGTTCACTAATCCTATTGTCTTGTAGAAATTGATGAAATAGACTATATGAATGTGATTTTTTTTTTTTTTTTTGGTTCCCTGATTTTAAGATGAATGTGGACAAATAAGTAGATCATATATGAACTACCATTTCTAGTTCACTATGGCAATCTTTTCATTTAGGTTTGGTTCCCATTTGGCTTAAGAAAATGACCGCCATATTCTATAAAATTGGACAAGGAATGCAATTCCCTTTCATTTTTCTTTGGGATTTATTTTTTCACAATTTGATGATTTTGATGAACTGCCCTTGGGTTTTAATTGAAGATTTTAATCAAATAATCATGATTATGAAAAGCATAAACATAAAAAAAAAAAAAAAAAAGAGGAAAAGACAGAGAGAGAGAGAGAGAGAGAGTCTTGTGAAGGAAACATTGAGTTTGTGTTTCTAGAAACCCAACCGATAAAAAAAAAAAAATGTAGTACATTTAATTGAAATTTGTAGTTAGGATTGACAAGATTTGTGGTGGGGAGGGGCTTTGTGGACAAATGAGATGAGGAGTAGGAAAACGTCCAAAGGGAAATGCTTAACCATAGAAACAGTCGTGTGGTTTGGTGACCCTTTTAACCACTCTTAGCAATCTTTTCTCAATATTTGTTTAATGAAAATTAAATTTTATGAGCAGCCATGATAGATCCTCCACTGTCAGTTGTCAAACATTCTATGTCATCCCTACTCTTACCAAAACATATCTTTTATATCTCACTATAATCGAACAACTCATATATGTAGACTTTTATTATGAAGGTGTTCAATAAATATACTATACACACTGATGAAATAATGATATCACAAAATTTTCCTTTTCACTAGTCTAATAACATGTATGATCTCACCAAAAATTTAAAATCTTTATTTTTTTATTAATCTGTCACTTGCAATGATGATTTAATAATTGAATTTTGTCAAACAAATAGATTAAAGAAACAATTAATTAATCGAACACCCTTGTCATTTGAGAGAGAAGGAGAGATTGATAACAATATTAGAACTACAAGAGCCAACAAGTGTGAATAAATTATTGATGATTTAGTGTTAAGGCCATGTTCCCATTGGACTAGGATTTGGGTCGGTAGAGATGGGTGAAGGTGGTTGGGCAGGATCGTAGAAGAAAAACACAATAACATCTCAAACTACAGTGTATCAAAGACTCACTCAAACCCTCGTGCGCAAACCTTTTGCCGCTCCCTCCCCTCACGAAATTCAGCTTTGAAACAGAAAAACATAAACAATCCCCTCGTTAGTCAATGCTACAACTGCTAGTCTTTTCAATAATTTCAAAGAGTTAATTACATTTTTGTACTTAAATTTTAAAATATATATATAAATTGATACCTAAAAAATTAAAATATACAATTAACTTGTACTTGAATTTTCAAATTATTATGTATCATATTAATTATCCAAACTCTAATTTCATTAATTATGATAAATATTATCAAATTATATATTTACCACATATATTATAATATTTTTTCAATATAAATTAAAACTATATATATTTTTTTACCTTAATCATAAAAAAATTGTTTAGAATCAGCCAACTATTATTTATCACTTGATATCGATATGTCATCCATATGAAGGTTTTACAAAATATTTAATATTTTTATTTAATAAATAACATGTATATAATGAAATTATACTGATTAGTTAACATATGAGTAAATTAAATCAATAGTATTAGAATTCGAATTAAAATGATATATTATTTGAAAATTCAGGATGCAAATTATATAATTTATTTTTTAGGTATCAATTTGTGATTTTGCATTCTCCCAAAGTTTTGATACTAAAAATATAATTAACTATAATTTGGAAACCTTAGCGACAATTTAGCAAATACGCACCATTTAGGACAACCATTCACTGTATAGTGGCATGGCTGTAAATTTCAAAACCAAGTCTTTTTCCTGCATCGTGTTTTGTCAATAGTGTTAGCTGTAATTATCATGATTTAACAAAGGTTAGTCATGGCAGCTTCTTCTTCAATTCTTGTTTGTAGAACATAAAGTACACGCTACCCCTTTCCGAATCCAATCTCCTCTCAGTTGATATTTGTTATAAGCTCTTTTTGTAGGGTCATCCATAGTTTGGGAACTTCAGTTGCCTTTTTGCCTGCTAGCTTTTCAGGATTTTATCAAGAAACAAAAATGGAGGAGAATCTTCCTCCAGGGTTTAGATTCCATCCCACAGATGAAGAACTCATCACTTATTATCTTTCCCACAAGGTCTCAAATATCAGCTTCACGTCCAAAGCTATTGTTGATGTTGATCTGAATAAATGTGAACCTTGGGATCTTCCAGGTATAGCTAATTTAGAGTTACTAATATATTTATTAATTTATTTCAAACTAAATCTAACCCTTTTACTTTCTTCTTATTACATTTCATATCATCTGGAGGAATTGGTTGTCCATGTAGTTGAAAATTTAGAGAGTCTTTGTATAATTACTTGATAGTAGGATCGATTTCTTATTGATGGATTGGATTTCTATACTCTTCATGCTTTTAACTCCATAATATTAATATGAAAAAGAGAGGGGATTCAATATACATATACAGCAAAAAAAAAGTTTGAACTGAGTCTTTGATTAATAAATGATATATACAATTATTATTGAGTCAAATGTTCAGATATAAAAGAGATTTGATTTTTTGGTAAAATTGATTGACTAAAAGCTTTTCTAAAATCCTAACTGATTTTCGGAACAACTACCTTAGAGGGCTTCTGTAATTTGTTTGTGTTTAGAGGAAAGAATTAATATATACTTGATTTAATGGACAATTAATTATACAGAGCTAGAAACCATTTAAGACTCTTTATAGAGAAAGGGACAACTATAATGGAAGAGTTATTGATTCTTAATTTTTACTATTCGAACCTCTTGTTTCTAATTTGCCCGTATAGTTAATTGTAAGTGTTTAATCAAAGAAATTAAAGTTTTCTTCTATTTTTTCTCTTTTCTGCTGAATTTGAGAATGAACTTTTGTTTGGAATAACATACTAATTATGTAAACAAGGTCTACTTATGTTGAAAGGACAAAATTATGATTGGTAAATTAATTCTCTTTAAGCTTTTATAGGCCAATTATGGGCATAAAACACTATGTTTCCCTACTTTTGGCGGCCTAACAAAGATTGATGCTGAAATTATAATTCCATGCAGCCAAGGCGTCCATGGGGGAGAAAGAATGGTACTTCTTCAATTTGAGAGACCGAAAATACCCAACTGGAGTTCGAACCAACCGAGCTACTGAAGCAGGGTATTGGAAAACCACAGGCAAAGACAAGGAAATCTTCCGGGGTGGCATTCTTGTTGGGATGAAGAAAACCCTAGTTTTCTACAAGGGAAGAGCTCCCAAGGGCGTAAAAAGTAATTGGGTCATGCATGAATATAGGCTTCAAAACAAACATTCTTTCAAAGCCACAAAGGTATATATAACTATATATATATATATATATATATGTATGTGTGTGTGTGTGTGTTCTCTTCATCATTTTTTTTTCTCTCATTGATGTAGAATTTGAATGAAGCATTTCTAATAATTTACTAATTTGTTTTCTTCTTTTTTCCCCTTTGATTTTTTAGGAGGAATGGGTGGTATGTAGGGTATTCCAAAAGAGTGCAGTAGTGAAGAAACCACAGCCAACCTCATCCTCACAGCCATCTCTTGGATCTCCATGTGACACAAATTCAATTGTGAATGAGTTTGGAGACATTTTGCTACCAAACTTGAACATTAATGCCAATCCATCAAGTGGGTTCAGTAACATTGCAACGCCAAGTTATAGTAATACTGTTAATCATGGTCAAATGAACATGATGAACTTAAACCTGGATCTTGCAGCAGCAAGAGATCAAGTAGCAGCCAACCTTCCATCATCCCTGACATGGCCTTCTAGCATTCTAAGCCCTAATCTTCCCATGAATTCCTTTCTCCTTAAAGCATTGCAGCTTAGGAATTATCAACCAAGAGATGTTACAGCTATGGGTTATTCCCTTCTGTCGTCCTCGCAAGGGATTAATTCTCAAACCAGAACAGGTTTAAGTTCAAATTTCCATGGCCCAGCTTCTTCTTCCAGGGTTTCAGATCTGATGCTACAACAACAACAGGAGCAGCCATTCAATATGGACTCTATTTGGTGAAGCTACAATACCAACATGTCTAAAGTGTGAAAAAACTAACACCTTGTATACTCAACATTCCATGACTTGAAAGGGTTAATTAAGATGAAAACAATCTCCATCCTGCAATGATCTGTTGTGGAGTTTCAGTCATAATTATGTTTATGTAGGTAGAAGTACCGCAATATCATAGTGACCATTTTCTGTTGGCCTGTTTTATCATCCATGTCTAGAAGGAAAATGTCCCTGGTAGGTTGCTAGTATACAATTTCCATGTCCATAAATTCCAATTGCAATTGCTATAATAAGAAGTATATTTAACTGTATTGAACCTAGCAACATAGTATTGCATTATTTCATGCATGCATATAGACAGCAACATGTTGGCCGCTTCTTAATCCTCATGGATATATGTACATGTTTTCTTGAGAGGGCCAAGCAAAGCAAATGCTCCCTTATATGACGTTAAAGAATTTGAAATTTATTTAACAATAATTTATATGTATAAATATATACATATAATGATATAGAACTGCCGATTGCTTCAAATAGTTAGGAATGGAAAACTCTTTGCAATAATTTTTATATATGTATTTTGATGTTGTTGCGCTTTCGAAACATATACATAATTAGTAGCAATCTTCATTAATCTTTCTTATAATATCAAAACATCTTTTTTGCAACAAAATTGAAATCATTTTGAGGAGTTACAAATAATTTATGGTCGATGAAAGAAACATATTTTGAGCTCATTTTGTCATTAAATGTAGTTTAGAACAATCAATTAAGATATGTATAAGTTACCAATAAAAAAAAAATCAGAATTTTGTGACGTGACAAAAGATGTTGCAAAACACATTTTTGGTTAATGTTAATTTGTTTTTATTGAGTCTTTGAATTGATGTTTAAGATAATCTTGCTGCGATGGCTATATATGTACTTTTGTTGTTTGTAGTGATCTTATTTCATGTTTTAGTCTATTAATTAATTCCTTAGATTGAATGTAATATTTATAGTTATGTCATATTTGTTTTGAATTGTTTAATTGTGATGTAATTCTCATAAATATAAATATATATATAGTAATGCCATTATTTTTCAAGAAAAAAATACTATAATATTTTCTTAAGTATGGGGTGAGTGCTCTAATGTTGATTTTAATTTCTTCAGATGAATTATTTTTGTTGACTAAATAAAAAAAAAAAGTCACTTCTGTTAATTAAACTTGAAAACAATCTACTTATTTAAAACACATAATAATAAAAGAATTTGGCAATGAGAAAAGCACCTTCATTAATCTAAAGTTGAAATTTATTTTAAATTAACAAATTGTGTTATTTTTGTAGAGTTAATCATGGAAAGAAAACTAACGAAAGACTTAATTAATGTAATTATTTTAAAAAATAACGGTCAATAAATATAATATTTAAATTTTAATATTTATAATTTTTTTATATTTTCGACTTTAAAAATAAATTGAAAATGTGTTAATGCCCAAATTGTTTATCATTGGGCTCTGGCCTTTCAATCCCACTTTCCTATAAAACCTCATACTACAACCGGAAGCCACACTCGAATTTCTCTCTCTCTGCGGCTCGTTGAGAAAGTCCACGGAGACAATGGCGGGAAAGCAAGTCGCCGGCGAGGGCTTGCCGGCCAACATTGCCGGAATGTCGAAAAGCCAACTATACGAGATTATGTCCCAGATGAAGGCACTCTATTTTTCCAATTTTCTTTTCTTTTCTTCCAGACCCAACTTCCTTCGCCGTCAATTCTAATTGGTAATTTAATTTTCCTAAATAACGGTCGTTTGATTGTTTTTTTTGGGGGTTATATGCAGACACTTATAGAACAAAACCAGCAGCAAGCGAGGCAGATCCTTATCCAAAACCCTCTCTTGACTAAAGCCCTTTTCCAGGTTTTCCTTTTCTTCTTTATTTTTCGTTTTCCTTTCCAAATTATTCTTAATTTTGATACTGTGAGTAATTATATGTTGCTATGATATGTTGGTTCGACTGAATTGTTGCTTGCTATTACTATGCCCTCTTCATATCCCTAGTAGGCTAAAGTTGTGAACTTTTGTCGCCTTTTTTTTTTGTATATATAGTAGTTGAGAGTAGCTACTCACTAAGAACCTAATCAACACAGACAGTGAATATGCTTGTATTCAAGAACCTTAGTATGGACAATTAGGTTTCTGAAGTTGGTTTTGTAATTATGGGATGCTTGTAGTAGTTCTAGTTGCAACTAACAATGTGCAAGAAGCAGTGATCATGGAAACATCTTTCTTGAGGATTACTTGTAGTGCTTGGCAGCTTGATGGTTAATCACCTTTTTCTTGCTTTAAATTGCATCTTTTTTGACATTTTACCAATGAATCATTAGGAGCTTCCATTCCTAACCAGGTTTCTTTAATTATTTTTGTTACTTCAGGCTCAGATTATGCTTGGAATGGTTAAGCCCCCTCAAGTGGTATGCTTCTGATCTATATAGAATTGTCTTTGAAATTTTACATTGGGGACTGTACTGTGCCTGTGTTCTAAATTTGTATGTGTTTAGATTCCTACCATTCAGCCACCTGCATCACAGCAATCTCAGCAATCAGCTCAACCGGCTCCACAGTTAAACATCCAGCCAGCACAATCATTGCCTGGTCAAGTCGGATGGCAGGACCAAGCTGCTGCATCTCAGATCCAACCTCCCGTAAGGAAGCATCTTCAAAACCAAACTGGGACACAAATCTCTGCTGCTGCTGCTGTTCCTGCAGCAAACCTTCAGTCTCAACCCATGCCACCACATTCCTTACAGATACCACAGCAGACGAAGGGACATTTGAATCCTCCAATGTCCCTTCCACCATCGTCCCAACTCCCAAATGTACCTCCTCTTCCTCTACATTCATCTTCACTGCCCCCTCATCATCATCAAACCCATATGCCAACAGCCTCTAGCAAGTTGCAGCAGCCATTGCAGACAACTGGAATTCCTCATATGCCTTTGCAACCACCAATGCGACCACAGGCAAGACCACCTTCAGTGCCAACTTTCCATCATCAGTATGCTCCACAAATGGGTCCTAATGCAGGTTTCCCTCCTCAGCATCTTTCACAGCCGATGTTCCATGTAAGTCAAAAGTTAGTTTTGAAGTCAATCCTGGGTGTCTCCCTTGTAATATATTCTGCAATAATTCCTCCTATTGTTGAATTACTCAGTCAGGTAATACACCTCCTTCTGGCCTTGGACCTTCTTTTCCACAAGGACAGCCACCACAACCAAGTCAGCTGCTACCCCAATCAATGTATCAAAATCAGGTATGTGCATAATTTAGTTGTTTGTTATGTATTGGTTTGATCTCTTAGTGAACCACTCTTACGGGGCTCATTATAAAAGTAAGCTCATGTTTTTAATTTATGCATAAATGGCATAACTAAATGGATGATTCTAAACACTCCATGGTCTAGCTGTTGTGAACTAGATTCAATTACTTTTTTTGGGCACTAGGCAATCTGTCAATATAGGTCTCCCTTCTGCTTGGTGATTGGTTCACTGGTTTATGCTCTAAAGTTGAAAAAATGAAAAATAGTGGATTTTTTTTTGTTCATCTGGAAAAGTTATGAAAATATTCTTCCCTATAAATATCTGTCTTGTCAATGGCACCTTTGTGAAGTGATTGTTGAGTTAATTGATTTTGTGTCTCATTAAATCTGCCTTGTCAATGGAAATCTGTTTATGTTTTCTTGTTCTTTTGCAACACTTGTAAGTGAAGATGGGAACATAATTGCAAGTTAGAAATGAATGCAATTATGATTGCAATAGCAATTAGGTGCACTTTTATGTAATTCAATATGTAGAAAGGCTATTGCATGAGTTACCTCTATGCATTTTACAGAAGTCAATAAGGATAAATGTATTTGTAGTTATCAATGAGCAGTTTATGCCACCTTTGCATAAATTAGAAGGACAGAAAACTGTTTGAGTACTATTCATTCAGCTAGCTAAATAAGTTAGAGTTCTGGCTTAAGCTGGGAGAATGGTAACCCATTGAAATGAGTGAACAAGAATATGAGTTGGTAACTGATTTTGAATTTAATAAAAGATAAAGTTTTAATGACTTTGAATTAAATTATCCTAATCATGAAGTCAAGATGGCTCTTTGTTGTCTAGTTAAGTGAATAGTTTTTTTTGGCCAGAGGTTGAGTGAGTAGTTGGTGTTGCAATTTTGTATGAAGTAGTTAAATTATTTTCCTCCATTTTGTTCAGTTCCTATTTTTGTTACTTTTTCCTTCCAGTAGCAAAAGAAGTAAAAAAAATTATTTTAGATGCAAAAACAAACAATATTTCTGAAGAATTGAAGTTAAAATTTAATTTTCATGATAATTATGTGTGATTTTACTTTTCTATGGATCTAATATATTTGAATTTGTGTTGCATTTTAAAGTTTGGTTATTTTTAATCAAACTTTTTTTTTTTTTTACTATTTACTTTTATTTTGTGGTAATTCTTGAGGAAGAAAAGAGCAAATAATAAAGAAATTAATGAGCAAATACAATAACCAAATGGAATTTTAAACTCCTAAATTTGATTTTCTACTTTTAGTTTAAACAAAATTCCATCTCTCGAGGAATGTTCCTGTGAGAAATATCTATTGGTTGATAGACTTTACCGATTGAAAATTTTTTGGTATATGTTATGCTCATTCTTTCAGGCAGGAGGCTTGCATATAGGGTCTGAGTTTGGCAACCAAGTTGGAGGTTCCATGCAGGCAGATAGAGGATCTTCTTGGATGTCTAGCCAACCAGACAATTCAACACTAACACAGCTTCAAGGACCCCCAGCATTGGTTCCCAGTCAGATGGGTCCAGGAAATCAGCCCCCTCGCCCTGCATCGGTGATTGTCAAAACTTTGAGTTTCATGCAAGCAAGATTATTTATCAATAGCTCAAATTGTTCCATTAACAGTTTGATTTTCCATTGGCTATTTATAGTTGACTCCTGAAATGGAGAAGGCACTACTACAGCAGGTAATGAGCCTCACCCAAGAACAGATTAATCTCTTGCCACCAGAGCAAAGGAATCAAGTGCTTCAGCTCCAACAGATTCTGCGCCAATGAGAAGGCTTTACTTCAGCAGGTCATAAGCCGCACTGGGAAGCAGATCAATGTCTTTCCTTCACACAACAATGGAACCAAATGTTATGCTATATTCCCCTGACATAGCATGTGAGGAACCTGTGTGATAGATGGTAACTGATCTGATACAGTCAAATCCCAACCGAAGAAAATTGTTTTTCTGCTGTTATACTGCTGCCAATTCAGCATTTGCTGCGGAGACTTATATAGATGCATTTTATCTTAATCTCCTTGGAGTCTTGGAAATTTATTTGTGGATTTGTAGCCTTTTTAAAGTTGATTGTTGGCACATTGGTGGGCCCTTGCGAAGATACGTTTCTTTAATGTGTTGTAAGTTAACAAACTTTAAGTTGCGAAGATGCCTTCGCACTATCCACTTCCGGGCGCATCGCTAATACATGGCATACATAATCGAGGAGAAGCGGAGAAGCCTTATGCCATGTACTTTCTTTCTAGTCGCTCTACGACAATTTCATTTTTCCAAAATATTCGTGTCTAACATATCACACACACATTGTGCATTGAAGCTCAACCGCCCACATGTAGAAAAAATTAATAATAAAAGTAAAATACATGCGACACTCAAAAGTTCCATAGATCTAGCTCATTATACAGCAAAACGGATCATATTCCAATGAATTAACACCAAAATATACAGTAATAATTACAATAAATCCAAGTGCTTTTACGATGGGAGAAATAATATTCCCCTAATTGATAAATGAAATACATATCCAAAAAATAAGAAATTCATTATTAATGTCGACTGTCATGACTTGGTAAAAAAAAAACTGACCAGACAGAACCTGAAGCTGTGTTACCACCAAGTTTCAGTTAGTCGTAGCATCATTCTTGATGGGGTGAAATGAACAGAATGCTGCAGAAAATGAGGATGTCACCATTGCCAGTCATGCAAGCCCTTTCACCCCGTTTAATAAACAGAGCAACTTGGGAAAAAAACTCATCCATGATATACAGTCCAGCCCAAGCCATCCCAATGTTCAACCTGCTCAATTGAATGGAATATAACGATGTAGATAAGAATGCATAACTGACTTTATTAGGGAAAAGAAAACATTAATGATTTTACAGCTTCTGGACGCATAATACATAATAGGGCGTAAAAAGAAAATTCTCTGGACTCATAAGAAAATTAAGTTGCAAAATTCCTGAAGAAACCTTGTAACAGAATAAAAAGATTAACTGAAAGACAATGATTACCTCATAGGGTTATGGACAAAAAGAAAATCACAATCTAGTCAGTTCAAAATTTTTGGAAACTTGATCAATGATATCTGTGAAAATTGGCTTTTTCAAAGTTTGACTGTAAAGAATCTTCATCAGCTTCCGAGTCAATGTTATCATCCTCATGTTCATCATCATCAAACTCACCATCATCTTCATAGTCATCAAGCTCATCATCATATTCCTCATCACCATCAGATGCCATACATGAAGCTTCATCCTCACTTTGCAATCGAGTACTTGACAAACTATTTACTGAAGCTTCAAACTGAAAACCATTCCCCACTCAAGTAAGTACATTGCAACATACCCAAGACAAGAAAAGAAACAACATATGTAACTCACTTGGGTGAGTTCCGAAACAGGATCAAACTGGCCATGCTCGCCTGACTCCCCATTATTGTCATCCTCAACATCTTGAGAGGCACCCTAAAGAATCAACAACAGTTTCTCCAGTTTACTTTAAGCATAATGAGACAGAAAATATGGATAACATTGTACTTTGAAAGCAAAAAAAAAAAATGCTTAAAGAAACAAAATCTACCAGAGTTACTTTCTCTTTTTCCCACTTGATAGGAAAGAAAAGCAACACTAACTAATTCCTCCAGTCATAATTAGTAAAAATAAAATAGAAAAAAACCTCTCATATTATAACCTCATAGGTCTGACCACAGACCCTTGCATACTCTCTCATTAAATTGGCATTAGTAAAGAAAGATACATAAATCTATATGGCAAACAGTAAACCATAAATAATACAGGACAATAACTAGATTAGCAATCATATTATTACTATAAAAATGCCAGTGTTGGTTCAGTTCTGTGATTCACCTATCTACATTGTCATGAACATAAGATATTTTGTCTGTTTTTTCTTCTTTTGCAAAAAAAAAATGGCAGAATCATTTTCCTTGAAATTCTGGAGATTGATTGCAAGTATATTGGAATGCCAACCATGCATATTGATTGGCTTCCACTACTCACTGTGGCATCTCCACTAAATTCAACAATATAGTTCGTTGATGAAATTTCAATCTCATAGTTATTGGAGGTTTAACCATGATGGGCAGAACTCCTAAAGCAGAAACCAGAATAACAAGTGTATAAGACAACTGAACTGTTAGTAACCTCAAGCATTCAATTCAGTGGAACTAAAGTTTATACAGCCAATTTGGCTTCAATTACTAGAGAAATGACTGGGGCAAAAGAATAGTTCATATACAGAAGTATGTCATGCGAGGAAAGAGATCCGAAATAAAGATATAGATTTCTGGTGTCCAAGAATAATGGTTTCAAGTCCATACCACTTGTTAAGAATAACTAGTGTTAGGCATGCACATACATCTAGCATAAAAGTTACAGTCTCAATAATTGACTATACACAGGAAAGGAGCAGTTACCATTTCCCCTTTCATTTGCTCTATGGTTTTCTCCAGTTCAGAAATATGCTCACTCAGAGCCTGCAAATAGTATGATGTAAGACATAACAGTCATATGGAACCACCGTGATGAAGTATAACAATAAAATCAGAATGTAAGAGGTCAAACCTCATGGCGTTGCATTGCAACTGAGCGCTTCAATGCCTTTGCCTTTGTTAGAAGGTTTCTTGGCCTCAGGCTAATGGGCCGACGGTAATTTTTTCCACGATAATAAATAAGAACATATCCTTTGGGGAGCCTTTCTATTGCCACCAGTATCCCACCACTCTCATACTCCAATAACCTGGCTGTATCTTCAACATATTCAAGGGTCTTTTGTTTGGTTATTAGCTTCACAAGTTCTCTGTGCTTCCAATGCAGATGCATATTCTCAATGACACCATCAAAAACACCACGAATACCTGGTATATTATTATACAAACCATCAGCATTTTAACTCTGATTTCAAACGTCAGTCACCAAATCAAAAGATTACACACCAAGAGGTAAGTATGGTTTCATTCTTAAACCAACTCTGCGATACATAGCCCGTTCCTCATCAGTAATTGTTTCTTGGTCATAATCTGGCGAAGCAGGGATCATAGAGGCTTCTACTTTAGCTAATAGTTTCTCTGCTCTAAGCTTTTTGGCTTGGGCCTGTTTGTGCATTCAAGCATTCAATTAACATCAATAAACAAATAAGTAAAATAACTAAAACAAACTGTAAACTTGAAGAAGGTACAATCTTGGAAAAGTTTATAGCATACAGCAACTACCAAGATCCACTAAGCAAGAAAGTGATCATTTTCAAAAATTAATAGCAAACCGAGGGCCAAAAATAGCAGCCAGTTTCAGATCTTCAAAAAAATAAAACAAAATAAAGCTTATTTGGCATACAAGAGGGAGCCTGATAGTAAACTCCCAAGAAGCTAGACATGCTTGTACAGTAAAAGAAGGTTCTATGATTAACTTTGCAATAGTTTAAAATAACACAACATTAGTTAATAGTTTCAAATAGCCTAATCTTTTCTGAAAATTTTCTTTTTGAGCATAAGGGTATAGCTATTATACTTACAACAGCCAGTTTATGTTTGACGTGCTTTACAAGTCTAGCATGCTTAGCTTTGGAAGCTTCTTCAATCATCTTTTCACGTTCTTCTGCAGATATATCTCTTCCCCAGCGGGCTTGAGCTTCATAAAACTCAGCTAATGTACCTGCAGGAGTCTGTCCTTTATCTTCTTCACCTGATTGAGCTGGCTCAACTGCTCTGATCCGCACTTTCTCCTCGACATCTTGAATCTGTTTTGTCAACTCCTGTCTTTCTTGCAGAGCAGCAGCAACACTTGTTGGAAGGAAATCTTTTCCTCGGTATATGACAATAAAGTACTTGTTTCTGAGCAGCAAGATGCCTCCAGTTAAGTTCTGCAAAATTGTTAGCATGCATGAGCAGTAATTCTTACGTCTCCTTTTGAAAGTACAGCATATCTTAAATGGTGAAGAGTCCATAGAAACACATGGAAAGAAATGTCATACACCGGGGAAAACTGGTGAACTATAACACAATGGTGGTAGTAAATGTTTCTTTTATAATCTTGGATAAAAGTTAAAATGCTCCTTTAAGCAGCTTCATTAAAGTGTGTCCCACTAGGCACTTTTTCCATCGAATGAGATTATTATGCTTCTCTGTTATATTTCATCAAGTTAACTAATAATTGTTACGTTGAATGTATGCTCATAAACTAATATAAGTTTCTAATGTCTTCAAATTAAATGAGGTTTGGTTTAAATGAAAGAAACAATTAGTTTGTTCGCGTGAGTTGATATTTTGACTGAATCAATTGTTGTGTATTCTTGCTCAACCAACTGCACAAAGATAATCAGGTGCTCTCCAAGCTTTCTTGGCCACAATAAAATAGAAATAACCTCAAGAGAAATTATCTACATGCTCCTATAAGAGTATCATGAAACAATCAATTTGTTTGGCATGCTCAGTTGAAAGAGGTTTGGCATAAGAATGGTTCAGTTTGAGGACTGATGAGAGGTAGAGGTAGGCCAAATATCATATGGTAGAAGTCAAGGTGACCAATCTATTATATATTTGGGTCATACTAAGAACACAACCTTTGATCAAGCATAACGGAGAAAAAGCATTCTTGTAGTCAAACACCCCAATAAATTTGGGATTTATTCTAAATTGAATTGGGTTGAGCACAGCAGGAACCTGTCAAAAACTGTTCACCTATAGCATGAATCAGGTAAAGCCGTGTGGCAGCCAAAAGATTAACAACAATTACTAAAAAATAAAAGTTAATGATCTGCTTTGTTTATGGGGACTGAAACCTTCTTTATCCTTAAACTGGCAACAAAGCAGAAACTTGAACTTTGATAAAAGAAACAATGCTGAGAACTGCAGCAGCAGAGGAAGAAAACAAGCTGATTTAACAACGGCACCGTTCTGAACGTGATTTTAAGAGTAATTCTTAAGAGTAAAAAAATTTGCTTAGGCAATACTACCTTTGCATCCTGCTAGGAACTTAGCATTTTCTTGTTCATGCAATGGCTTAGAGAAACAAATTTTAGGCAGAAGATTGAGAATATACAAGTCACTAAAGCCTTGAAGTTGTCAAAAGATCATACCTTTAGCTCCTCAGACATAAGCTTGTTATTTGTATTCTGAATACCTCGTTTTACAGCAATCTTTGCAACAAGGCTTTTCTCCCAAAGTTTAATTATAGCAGCCGCCAATCCCTGGTGGTTTCTATTCCTCCCTAGAAGAATATTTACATAGAAAAACTTTATTCAATGTCCCAAACAGACAAGGTAAAGTAAGAAAGAATGGAGAAAAGGTGACCATACCCAGGGCAAAATGACAAGGAAGTGATTTAGCAATTTTCCGTAAATTTGTCATTTCTGCATTCGTAAGCCGTGCTCTCATTCCAGCAGGAAGAAGCCTGAAAGGTGTTTTATAACCAGGTATCTTTTGAGGAAGTAAATCAGCATCAACTGGAAGTACTCCTGTACCCCACCACTCAACAAACCTAGGTCCTAGACCATCTAGTAGACTGTTATACTCAGCTTCCTCTTCAGTCATGCTTTCACTACGTTCAGGCTTCACCACAATTGGATCACACTTTTCAGGGGTTGAAGTCGTGCCAGATTCACTTCCCCTTACTGCATTGCTTGCAGAAGAAACATCTGGGACAAAAAGAGTTTCTCCTTCTCCACCAATAGATGGGGATCTAGAAGGACCTTCGTAGTTACTTCCACGATAGACCACCATAACACTTCCAGATCTCCATAAAACTAATCCTCCTGTACGACGCTGACCATCAATTCAAGCCGTGAATATTTATGTTGTAACAGGTACTCAGAGCCATGACATCAGATTAAGGCAGAGATGCAAGGAATTATAAAACTTTGGCTACAGATATCATAAGTTACTTCAAAATCTACATAAAAACATGAATAATTTTATCCACCAATTGGCATCGAAGACTATTTGGCCTGTTACTTTTGTGACAAGCTCCTTTATCATGTCCAATGAGCAATTCACATGTTCATGAAAATTTTGACTTATCCATTTCATAAACTGCTATGAAAAATAATTCAAAGGCTAAAATTGGATTCCTTTCTGAACTATCTCATGCCGTATCTGATGAAAACTAATTCAATACTAATGCATTACATTTGTTTCATAATATCTCATCCCTTATCACCATTCACCAAGAAAAACCAAAAGGCTTAATGTATAAAAAATCTACTCTATAAAATACAAAATCTTATTACGACTATATCACCTCCATGGCTCCATTGTAAAATCATCCAATTTTTTTTTCTTAGCTATAGACTTAATTCCAAGCCTACCAATAATCTTTAAGTAATAGACTTGCATGAACAACAACATATTTGATACGAACAAACCAATAACATAATTTCAAAGGTCAGGCGAAAACATAAACACAGAAAACATCCGACATTTCCAATGACTAAAGCAACAACCAACCTCAACAATCTCATGAGCAGTCTTCATATCCACAGCTAGAAACTCATGAAACTTAAGCCTAACTAACTCCTCCTTCCTCCACTTATCATGAATCTTCTCCAAAACCGCCTGTGTAATCCCCGCCTTCGGCACATTGATTCTTTCCCTTAAATACATGCCCATCCTCCTCAACCTCCTCAGCTCCTCATCCTCAATTGTCAGCTCCGCCAATGTCGGTGCCTTCACTCTCCTCTTCTTAAATCCTAAGCCTCTCTCCTCCACCACCTCCACCTCCGCCTCCTCTCGCTCCCACGGCAGCACAGCTTCTTTCTTTTCTCTCTCTATCACCATCGTATCAGGCCGTACCCACTCTCTTTTCAATAAATCACCTAACCTCTCTTCTCCAGTCACCGGCGTCTGATTATAGTCGTCCGTTTCATCATCGTCTTCTTCTTCGTCATCTGATCCTAGCCCTAAGTTTCGCAATCTGAGAACGATTCTTTCAATTGCGCTTTGGCCTTTATCTTTATCAAAATATCGAGTTTCAACATCAACCTTATCATTAGCGTCCGATTGGATGACTTTTCCGGAAGGAGAGGGCCAGGCTTGGAAGGAAGAAGATGCGCCCGAGGATTGGTGGTCCCTTGGGTAACAATAGGGCTTGGACGTGGAGCTAGGGTTATTTCCTGACCGGAGGGAAGAGAAAGGTCTAAAGAAGCGAAATGACGGTTTTGGGGCAGAGAAGAAAAGGTTGAGAGAAGGAGAGTAGGAATAAGAGTAAGAAGAGAAAGGGAGTGAAGTTCTAAGTGGTATTTCCGTTAATTTTATGGCGGCCATTCTTTTTATTTGAATTTTAAGGTATGGTCTTGTTATTCAGGAACCGTGGCACAGCTTTGGTTGCAGGGAGTGAGAGTGCAGCAAACTTGGAAGAAAGCCGTTTTCGGTGAAGGGAGAGATAAGATTGTTCCTTTCTTTTTGGGATATTTTGGTATGGATATGGGTTTGTTTGGGAACATTGGGTTTTGATTCTTTTTGTTACAAATTGGGCTAAGCAATGCTCTATTTTTTTAATTTAATTTAAAAAACTATTGCATCATCTATTAAATTTTTAAACTCAACTAATAATATTTGGTCAAAAAATTCAACTAATAATGAAATTAAAAAATTGTCACAAATAATTTAAGATATTAAAAAATTATTATAAAAATAATAAAACATATGATAATATTCTAATGTCACTAGTGGAATTTATAAAAAATAAATTAGCTCTTCTTACTTGTGATTAAGCAAATAATGAATAAAAAATAAAAAATGAGTAGAAAAATATCTAATTAGAGCCTAAATTAACCAAATTCATGACTTTAACGCAGCTACCATTTGCATTTGAACAAGACCTTGCAAGTATATCTACGACTACAAACAAGGAATGTTTTTAAAAAATATAGCAAAAACAGTATGTAACATCCAAAGACAATTAAAGATGAAGATGAATGATCAACATAGAGGCGAGAAATCACCAACCCGCATTGCTTAGCAACAGATATTGTTAAAGTTGAAATTCGAAAAAGACGGCACCTACTGTAAGCGATGATATGCCTTTGCTTCATTGGCTGCCAAAAATAGATTATGCACCCCTATCCAATTATACGCAGCGGGGAACTGGAGTGTGATCATCTTCTGCTTAGAGAAGGTTATGAGCTCAAAATTTCCGGACCAAGCTGATCCTTTTTTTTTTTTTTTTGAATAAAAGCTCCTGCTCTGCTTAGTCTCAAGCCTTTACCATGCATTCTTCTTTCATATCTTGAAGAGTTTCAAATTCACTCGTTTAAAGATTGAAACTTGTAGACACCGGTTTTGTTCGGTATACTTTTTTATATATAACAAAAACAACAGAACAAAAAAAAAAAAAAAGGATGGCAGTGATGTCTTCTTTAGCATCACTGCCACCATATCCTATCACTTTGTTGGGCTAAAAGCCTCTAATCTAATCACTTGTTGGGCTAAAAGCCTACAATCCAATCACATCAACGGAAGCGAAATCAAACAATAAATCAAACATACAAGAGATAATAATTTAACATGATTCGGTCCAATCAACCTACATCCACGGATGAGAAACAAGATCCACTAGTTATAGAGAATTAAAAACTTATATCAAATCATCAACCTCACTCAACAATCAATACTCATAAGACACTCTCAATCTCCTCTAGTCCTATGGAGTATTCTCAACCCAAACAAACCCAAATCCAAACCCTTGTGTACTCTTTCAACACAACCAAACACATACCCATATGTTCCCATACATCATACCTATATGGACCCTCTCAGTCTCATCTAGTCCACTCACAAACAAACATACACACCCATAAGACGTAGAGCCCCAATACTCCTATGGGGTGTCTATCCTACAAAATCCTACAACTCTCTTACATCTTTTTCTCATACCTAACCCTGTAGAGACTTCACCTATTTATAACCATACAAACTTGCCCATTAAGAATCCCTCTCCTTTTAGAATTCTTTTTCTGTAAGTCAAACTTGCCTATTAAGAATCCCTTTCCTTTTAGAATTCTTCTCTTGCAAGTCAAACTTACCTATTAAGAATCCTCTTTCTCTTAGAATTCTTCTTTTGCAAGTCTTCTTGTCCATCAAGCAATATCTGACAAATCTCAAACAAATCTCTAACAAATCCCAAACAAATCTCTTATGGGATTTGAGTCAATATTCCCAACAATCTCCACCTTGACTCAAATTCCATTAATCATCTGTTTCATGCTAGACATGCTTGGCTCTACCTGCAATGAAAGTCTCACAATCATCTTCTTTTGTGTCTGCACGCTTCATACAAACCAATCCTCAATCTTAAACTCAAACTTTTCTCTTGAATCGAGCTCCTCTAAGCTTATTTCTTCCCATGTCTCAAACCAAGCTCTTCCCATATCTCGAACTGTCAACTATTCTCATGTCTCGAACCATCGGCTCTTTCTACATCTTGAATCTTTAACTCTTCTCACGTTTCGAATCTTCAGCTCTGATATCACTTGTTGGGGAACACCACAGCTCTGATACCATTTGTTGGGGATCACCACAGCTCTGATACCATTTGTTGGGCTAAAAGCCTCCAATCCAATCACTTGTTGGGCTAAAAGCCTCCAATCCAATCACACCAACGGAAGCGAAATCAAACAATAAATCAAACACGCAAGAGACAATAATTTAACGTGGTTCGATCCAATCAACCTACATCCACGGATGAGAAACAAGATCCACTAGTTGTAGAGAATTATAAACTTATATCAAATCATCAACCTCACTCAATAATCAATACTCATAAGACACTCTCAATCTCCTCTAGTCCTATGGAGTATTCTCAACCCAAACAAACCCAAACCCAAACCCTTGTGCACTCTTTCAACACAACCAAACACATACCCATATGCTCCCATACATCATACCTATATGGACCCTTTCAGTCTCCTCTAGTCCATTCACAAACAAATATACACATCCATAAGACGTAGAGCCCCAATACTCCTATGGGGTGTCTATCCTACAAAACCCTACAACTTTCTTACATCTTTTTCTCATACCTAACCCTGTAGAGACTTCACCTATTTATAACCATACAAACTTGCCCATTAAGAATCCCTCTCATTTTAGAATTCTTCTCCTGTAAGTCAAACTTGCCTATTAAGAATCCCTTTCCTTTTAGAATTCTTCTCTTGCAAGTCAAACTTACCTATTAAGAATCCTCTTTCTCTTAGAATTCTTTTTTTGTAAGTTTTCTTATCTGTTAAGCAATATCTGACAAATCTCAAACAAAGCTCTAACAAATCTCAAACAAATCTCTTATGGGATTTGAGTCAATATTCCCAACACACTTTACCCCACCCTTCTAATCACCTATATCATTGTCCGTTTACCCTATTACCCATACCCTATTTACTACCCTTATTGTCAAATCAAACAAAAACAATAAAAAAGGCATGGGGCTCGTGCTTGCACCCCATACCGAGCCCTATGCCACGTATGGTCGGAGCTCTATAGAGTTCTTAGCCAAACCATGAAAAAATAAGAGAGAAAGGAGAGGGAGTGACGCTACAAAAAAAATACTACTGAAAAAAAAGTAAACAAAAAAAAACACAGTCCTCCCCGTAAGGAGGAACCTCAACACTGAAGCTACATGCAAGAACAAAAAATTATATCAATCTTTGTTTTACAAAAAAAAAAGGAAACAGAAAACTTCAAACCTCAATCTATGCCAACCGAGGTTGTTTCCGACGAAATAGGTGACAGATCTGAGCTTAGGAGGTTGAACGGAACCTTCTAATAAATTTTAAAATTTTTTAGTCACTGATGACCACTGCCGATGGTGACCCAGCTGCAGCCGCACGGCGACCGGCAATCGGATGGCAAGAGAGCTCTAGAGCTCTCCCCAGAGCTTTCCTTTCTTTTTTTTCCTGAAACAAAAAAATAACGAACTATCGTAACGGTTTTGAGACCGCCAAACGTAAATGAGTTTTAAAATCAAAATAAATGACGAGAGTCGCCATCAATTTTTGTTAGAATGTGATTGGCCACTCAAAAGTTTATCTTTTTAATAAAACTATAAAAACAGGTTTAAAGTTTATCAAAAAGATAAATTTCGATCTAAGAAAAATCAGGTTGGTTCGAAGTCGGTTACGTGTGGAGAAGGATTAGCACCCCCACAACGCCCATAAATTGGTACCATTTAATTACACACTATTTTCGATGTTGGATAAAAATGGTTTTAATTTGAAATTTAACACTAATTTCTTTCATTTGGAAAAATAAAATTTTGCTAAAATTTTTATTTAAAAATATTGAGAAAATCTTTAAGTTAAAGAATTACCTTAAAATTCTCCAACATCTAGGCAGAATTTAAAATAACTCTTTTCGCTTAAGATTTAACACAATAATCCTTAAAATGAAATAACAATCTTTATAGAAAATAATTGTTAGTGACTCTTCAATATTTAGGCAGAGTACCAAGAATTATTTCTTTCAGAATGTTATTTTTATTTTATTTTATAATATCACAAAAAAAATTTTAAATGTATTATTCCCTCTTTTATTATAAAATATTTTACATCAAACAGCAAATTAAAGAAAGAATAATGCAGACAATTATTGATGATAACATGCTAATGTACTTATGCTAATGAATGTCATGTAAAATGAAATGCAATTTAAAAGTTGGATTCTTAAGTATAATGAGACTACCCCGACTCTCCAATATTTAAGCAGAGCTTAGGTGCGACTATTTATATTTAAGATCCTAATTTACTATTATACTTTTTATTTATTAATCTTATTATTAATGTGAATTAAGAACTCGTGTGAAAAACTTAATGAAATGGAGTTTCCTAAATACCTTATTATTTAGGCAGCATTCGGGAACAAACCATTTCATGTGAGATTTTCACACGTATCCTTAATGTTTCGAAATAAATTTAGGGTAAAGGTTTAGGGTTTAAGTTTAGGGTTTGGGGTTTAATTAAAATGCGAACATCTCTAAAAATCTCCAGCATCTAGGCGGACTTTCGGAGCAAATTCAATTTTTATAATTTTTTTAAAAAAATTAATTTAAGAAACATAATATTTTTTTTAATTAAATTTTTTATTATTTTAAAATGTTTTTTTTAAATCCTTTTTATGAAAACTTATTATCAAAAATATTAACTTATTTATTATTTTTTTATAATAATAATTTCTCAACATCTAGGCGAAATTATTATTCTTGAAATATGATTTAATTTCCTCCAACATCTAGGCAGGAAAAATAAAAAGCTTATTCCATTATTATTATTATTTAAACATTTTTAATATATTTTTTAGTTAGTATCCTATATTTTTTTCATTTTATTATTATAAAAAAATAATTAGATATTTTTCCCAATAAATTTAAACATTTATCATGCATAAATATAAAAACTTAATATAACAAAAATAATAATATATAAAAA